GGGTGGGGTGGGGAGGTTTGGTTTTTCTTTTATCTTGTGAACTGATTCCGGTAAATGTCCAGGGGAATCAGGGAGAGGTTTGATGGAGAGCTCTTCTAGCGCAGACGGCCATAGCAGAGGCACAGCTCCGAGGCCCTGAAGGTGGGCGAGCACTGTGTTCCCTTGAGCTGCCCTTCTGTAAGAGTGGGAGTACGCTTATTGCTGATAACAGTGCCTGAATGCCATGGCTTGAGACGGAGAGAGGGGTGTTCATCGCTGCGATTTGTTTTCCTCATGGAAGGAAGTCCACAAACGGAGCAGCTGCCACGGGGTGGAAAATCTCCATCTGGTGCTTATGCTCCAATGGCCACGGCTGGGTGCCCTTCAGGTGCATGGTTTGCAAACGGCAGGTCTGCATAGATGTGGAATATTGCGGTTGTGAAGCCTGGACTGTTTACTTAGGTGCCTTGATGGTTGATTAGTAACAGATTTTATAGGCCAGTATTTAAAAAAAACAAACAAACAAAGCCCCGCACCAAAATTTTGAAAGCTTGCTTCAAAGCAAGTGGTAGAAAGCTGTAGAGTAGTGGATACTTCATAGCCTCTGACTGTGTCTGAATTTAGACAAAGCTGAAGATTACCTTCTTGAATGCTTATAGCTGAATGTCTGCCATGGCATTTCACTGGGCAGGCAGAATAACTCTACTTCTGAAAACTAAGTTATGTGCTGTTCAGATGACTGTGTATGAAATACTGTGTGAGTTACTTAATAGGCTCAGCTGTCTCTGTGAAGTAGATTCTGCAGCTGTTTCCCTGGAAAACTTGCTTGGTAGGATGTGATATGGTCACCCTTGCCCTGACTCTCCTCTGCCTGCAAGATTTCATGTAGTTGTAGTGCAACTAAATTAGTTTTGTTCCTAGTTACCTTCACATTTTTTTCCCCCAAATGAAGCATTTTCTCTATTATGTTCCTAACAGTGGATTTTTATTGACTTTGCAAATAAAAAAAAAAAAAGATGGCATGATACTCTTCTTTTAGTTGCGTGAAACAGTCTAACTTCCATTGCCTATTTGCAGTTTTAAAAACAGGCACTCACTGTCATGAAATGTCTTAAGACTTCCACAGCAGATGATGTGTTCTGAGGTCTGACTTGGGGAGAGCACAGATGTCTGGAGGTTAGGAGCTGCTGTGATGGCTTGTTTTACCTCAGCTGTACCTGTGTTATGCTATAGTGCATGACAATGACCAGCCTGTAGCGGGGTTTTGTTTGGTTTTTTTTATTAACCATGAGACTCAGTAGTTGTGGTTTTAACACTATCCAGCTTGTTGGAATATCACACACTGCTTCCTTTACAATAAATGCGACCATTATAATGCTTTAACGTATGTCTTCAGTCTGCTCTCTGCATAGTTGGTGTTGAAGATGATTAGCATTAAAGACAGAGGAGAATGCAGCTGCCTGCATATGCACACCTGTGTGATGATATTTAAAATTTTTTTACAAAGCATTGTAATATCAACTGACTGGTGTTACCAGAGCGATTAGGGAGTACTTTAGCAAGTTTTCTATTGCTTAATAGGTTAGCGTATAATATATACTACTACTGTGAATACATTTATTTTCATTATATAATAATTAATGTTACTATTATTTATATTAACATGTAGTAGGGGGTAACAGGGAGGGATAGCACAGCCTGGTCATTTCGTCTGAACCTTGGGGCAGGAAGGCCAGAACATTTCAGAAGAGCAGCAAGTGTTCAAAATTGTTGCAGCAAAGCTTTAGCCAGGCTCCAGGGGATGGGACCCAAGCAGGAGCTGCCAAAGGCAAGAAGGGTTGTGCCTGCCCTGTTTGGGGGCACTCGCACTAGAGAAAGTAAGATCGAAGCAAGGGACTAGGCATTGTGGGTTGCTTTGCTTTCTGTTTTTTCTCCCCTGACAGACAGAATGTTTGCTTCTCCTCTGTTGGCATGAGAGGCAGAATACAAGCCTTAGCTATTGGCAATGGCTGTGCAAGGCTGATTAGCAAGCTCTTAAGATTGGAACATATGCAGGTATGTGCACACAGATGATTGTATTTGAGGCTGAAAACAAATCTGGGTTCTGTCCTGCACAGGATGTTTTGCATAGGTGACTTTCTGCAAATACAGGAAGCAAGCATGCATTAAGTAACCAAATAATCAGATCCATTGCATACGTGTACACATAAAGCAGCAGCTCTTAAAATACGGCCATCTTTAAAGAGCCTTCCTGTGCTACAGATGGCTCTGGTCCAAAGTCTGCTCCTGTTAAAATTAGGCTGAATTACCCTATGGAAGTAGGCACATGAGAAGGGTGTTAGAAGACAGGATAGTTCTGTGGCATGAGGGCATCACAGCTCCCCCTCCTTTTTTGTAAGCCCTTTTGGGGATTTTGGTTTGTACACAAAGATTGTATTCTCCCCTTTTTTTACTCTGTAATTTCTTTGTACAGACAGGAAGCATACAACAGGTCTGCTTTTACATATTTTATTTGCCAAAATGACAAATTGAAATAGTAATTTTTCATGATAAAATGAGATTTTATTCTTCTTTACTAAATTAAACTGTTCATACACAAGATTACTTTCCTAATGCCAGATGAGAAAAGTAATATTAACAGTTACACTGATTATCATGTGCCAACTTGAATTTTAATAGAAGCATAGTTTAGGTCATTTTTCTTAGTATTAAAATCTCATCTACCCTTATAATCTTACCAGGAAAATCAGAAATGTAATTAGTGACAGAAATACATTTTGCTACTATGCTCAAGTTGGTTTAATTTTTATAATTTATTTTTTAAATTTAAAAACAGTCTGCAAAAAGTGTAGGTACTGTGAACTGTACTGTGTGTTGGCACCACAACTGTACTGAGGAGGTAACTTTAGCACCAGTTGGTCCAGCCTTTCCAGTGGTGGTAGACTTGATGCACCTTCTGACCATGAGATCAGGGACTTCTGGCTCAGTTCTACCTTCCCACCCCCAGAAAGAAATAAAAACAGTCTCTTTAATTAGCTTACAGTTTTAAACAGGAAAATCCCAACTGTCCTATAATTTGTACCTTTATACCACAAGGTAGTAGTTTAAAAAAACCTCTAAAACATTCATCTTTTAAATAGCAGCTTTGAAATAAAAGTGAGGGATAAAGCCTTGCAGGCCAATTTTGAGACCATAAATCAACTATAGGCAGATT